CACTACGACAAGTTCCTCTTAAAAAATTTCTCCGAGTATGCCAATCTTGGAACTCGGACACTCGTCATTGTCCATATTTCAGAAATGTGCATTTGTTTCACGAGAGAAATGGTTTAGTCTTCCTGGCGAAGATTGAAAATGACTCTCGACCAATGAGGGCATGAGAATTTCTATGGTTATTACGAAAAGGCCACAAACAAAGTGCGAAAATTTTATTTCAAAGAATGACAGAACAAAGGGCCGCAGCTCCGTTTCTCGTTTTCGCAGCAGTAGCGGTTTCTTAGCAGTCACAAAATAAGCAGTAAAATACAGCAGATCAAGCATCCGAACAGCATCAAGATGAATCTCATGGACATTAACAGGCTTACTGATGGTCCAGTCCTCAATGTAATAACTTTGCTACAGCGGCAGAACTTGATAGCTAGTCCTCTGAGATGCCTGCCATGCAATAGAGGAATGGAATTAGTAGAGAGAAATCCAGACCACGTAGATGGATATGTATGATAAGAATAGACAGTGCCAATACTAAACTTTTTTAAATATCTACTTTCTATCATTGACATACTACTAGGTAGTTTAGCATTGAAATAAGTGATCATCATAAATCGGAATTCTTCACGAGTTAGACCACTGCTTTCCTTTTTCCAAATTTAAGCAAAATGACTAACATTGGATCCTTGTCTATAATTATTAGATATTTCTCTTTATGAGGAGATGCAAAGGCTGTAGAGGCAAAAAGTCTCTGAGAGAAGGTAGTTTTTTCGCCGAGTTTCCCCGGATTCCTCTGAAAAAACTCCTAGTTGTGATCTATTTGTGGAGTCAGCGCGAGTTGCGCTCTAGAGTTTCTTCCATGGTTGGATTGACAAAAAACAACGTTGGACGTGTGTTTGCCACGCTCCGCTTCATTTGCAAGAGAGATATAGAAGATAGACCAATCACCCCATTTGGCGGGCGTGTGTACGTCGTCAATTGTGACGAAAGTCAATTCAAGCACAGATCGAAGGTGAGTAAGTGCACTGTCATTTTCATTTCAAACGGAGGCTTCTGTTTGAAAACTTAGTTTTGTAGCAACTTCTTGATAACTTTTAAAGGAAGTCTATCAATTTCCGGGCCGTCAAGTCTCATCTATTTATCAGCTTATGGTTTGTCAGAGGTTACAATCCCTTTTAAGATTTCCCCCCTGTAATACGCCCGCCTCTACTAGCTTAGAACATCCCACAATCAGAGTACTTTTTAGAATTGCCGCCAAGTATCAGACACATCCAACTCTCTGTACGGAAAATTTATTTTACCAGGAAATATCAATAGGGTTTGATCCGCAAGTAATTTTTCTTGCTGCAAGTCATACATATGCTTGCGAGCACAGCCAGGTTGAAGAATTGTCCGTTTTTCTGGCTACCGTGTCCATAATACAAAAACGCCTAACACCCGCCATTAAATCTGGTAAGAAGGAGAGTTTATATGCCAGGAGGGTGCTTGATTTCGCACGCATCAAATCAAAGTTAATCGTTATTTTGACAAGCATCAATGCCAATGTAAATCTCCGTTTTAAAAATTTTAATCGTTATAGTATCAAAGAGATCGCAGGGCCAGCGATGACGTGTGGGTGTTTGGCGTGATCTCTAGGGAACACAGTCCTTGTCGCAGCTACTTTCAAGTTGTGAGGAGAAGAGACTGCCGAACATTGTCCAATATTCTTCAAAGGGTCCTCCTGCCTGGGTCAGAAGTGCACACTGACGACTGGGCTGCGTACAGGAACCTTCACCTGTACGTTCCTAACGTGACCATGCACAGAATAGTTGTCCATCAGAACAACTTCGTTGATCCCGTTACTGGCGTACATACGCAAGAGGCAGAGTCGGCGTGGGCGCGCGTCAAGTACCACGTAAAGAGGGAGAAAGGAATCCGCCAAGGGGACATCCAGGATTTCCTTGACGAACACATGTGGCGAGATTGGCGCGGGCTGGAAGCCGTTTTCGAAAATGTTCTGGCAATAGTACCAACGTACTATCCCTTATAAATATATCGTTCTCCAACA